CAGCCCCGCCGAGACGCGCGTGTCACCGCCCGGCCCGCACAGGCGCCGCACCCACAGCAAACCCCGCACGGCGGCCTCGCTCTCGCGCTCTCGGTCACCGTTCCAGCCTCCCCATCCCCCATGGCGGGTGGGAGGGGGCACGGGAGGAAGCTCTCTGGGGAAGCCCTCTGGGCGGGGCAGGTGGGATCAGGGCTCCAGTGGAGCAGGTGTGCGCCCCCCTCCATGTCCCCTGGCTCTCATTAAAGCAGGCAGTGCAGGCCACACCTGGGGCACAGGGGACAGCGGGTCCGCCCATGCTGGATGTGTGTGTGGATGTTCCTGTGGTCTGCACAGTCCCTTGGCCTCAACCCTGGAAGTCACAGCCACTGGGGCCCAAAGAGGACCCCACCACCCAGTGTCTACAGTCTGGGCAAGGCATGAACTCGCATCCAGGCACGTGTGTGGGTGATCACTGCAGGATCCCGGGACCCGGTCCCTGTGGAGACAAAACCTTTTAGGTGGGCAGGGCCTTGTGCTAAGAGGGCAAGGGGGTCTTCTGACCTGGAACCCTAAACGGAGCCCTGGGGGAGGGGTGGCTGAGAACAAACCGAGCAGGTGGCCGGCGTCAAGCCAGGACAGCAGGCTCTGAGTGAGGGTGGACAAAGCTGGATTAACCAGTCTGAGGCCCGTAAAGCCCCCCCATCTCAGTAGACACTTAGCCTCAGACTGTCTGCTCAGATGGTAGCCTGTCACCAGTGCTAGGGGCGGTGGGTTTGGGTGGGAACTACACCCCCAGCCCTGCTGCCCCTACTTTCGACAGGTCCAGGAGGTCTGTTGGTCCCAGGCTGGAGCTGGGCAGGTCTTTGGCTAGTTGACACCCCTCCCCCAAGCATTGGGTGGGTGGTGGGTTTTGCCTGACCTGGTCATGAAGCATTGGGAGTGGCCTCAGACCTGGACACTTGGATGCTCCTGCCCCTTCCACCACCACCTCCAGTACCCCAGTGTGCTGGGGTTGTGGGGGGTGTGTGTGACAATCCCCAGCACAGGCTTCTGCCTCCCTAGGTGGGTCACCTGCTCTGCCCAGTAGGGCCCAGCCCCCCAGGGGTCTAGGTGGGCACTGTGGCAGAAGAGGAAGATGGGGCTCAGAGGCTGCTGCTCAGTCTGGAAGAGGCAACCCTCCCACCCCCCAATAAAGTCCCTCTACAGCAGTCCCAGGGTAGTCTGTCCCCCCCCTGGTGACCCTCTGCAGTGTCCCAAGGGAAAGTGAGTCAGAAGGGACTCCCAGCCTGGATGGGACCCCAGGAATGAGGAGATGGCAAGAGTTAATCCGGCATGCCAGCATTAAGGGCCCTGTCATCAGACACACGGCACCCAGCACCCCACGGATTTCACACTCAACCTGCTTGTCCCCGCCCCCTTGCAGGCCAGACTTCCTGTCTAGACCCCACTAACCGCGGCGGGTCCGCACCCAGCACCAGCCGGCGGCCCCCACTTGGTGGCGCTCAGGAGTCACACTCCCGGCGCTGCCACACCCCTCGTGCTGACCGTAGTCACCGGTGCCCCATCCCGACGTCAGGTGGGGAGGGTGCTGGATTGACCAACCTTGAAACCACTGTCCCTCACTAGCCCCCCTCCCCATATAGGCCCTCCTCTCA